GTAGATATAACTACAGTTAAGACGGTAAATATACCACTTCCCAATAGATTTAACTACAGTTAAGATGGTAAATATACCACTTCTCTGTAGATATAACTACAGTTAAGACAATAAATATACCACTTCTTGGTAGATAAAACTACAGTTAATACAATGAATATACCACTTCACGGTAGATATAACTACAGTTAAGACAATAAATATACCACTTCTCTGTAGATATAACTACAGTTAAAACAGTTAATATAACTGCAATACACTTTATATAACCATTATACCACTATACAGAAAGTAAATATACCACTTATCAGTAGATATAACTACAGTTAAGACTGTAAATATACCGCTTATCAGTAGATATAACTACAGTTAAGACTGTAAATATACCACTTATCAGTAGATATAACTACAGTTAAGACTGTAAATATACCGCTTATCAGTAGATATAACTACAGTTAAGACTAAATATACCACTTCTCTGTAGATATTACAACAGATAAGACAGTAAATATACCACTTCTCTATAGATATTACAACAGTTAAAACAATTAATATAACTGCAATACACTTTATAGAACCATTATACCACTATACAGACAGTAAATATACCACTTCTCAGTAGATATAACTACAGTTAAGAAGGTAAATATACCACTTCTCAGTAGATATAACTAGAGTTAAAACAGTTAATATAACTGCAATACACTTTATATAACCATTATACCATTATACAGACAGTAGATATAACCATTACTCAGTAGATATTACCATAGTAAAGACAGTAGATATACCACTTCTCAGTAGATATTACAACAGTAAAGACAGTAAATATAACTGCTATACACTTTATATAACCACTAAACCACTGTACATACAGTAAATTTAACCATTACTCAGTAGATATAACCATGGTTAAAACAATAATTCTAACACGATTCGTTTGCAACGCGTGTTTTGATTGGATACGGACTATGTTCTAATCTGCGATAGAATCATGATCAATCGTGTTAAGCTCCTCCCATCGCACTTAAGCCACGCCCCGTTTCTAACCAAAACAATATGGCATCAAGGTCGCTTCTTAGCGATATCCTGCTGATAAGGCTAGTAGGCTTAGCGAAATCCTGCTGATAAGGCTGGTAGGCAATGACCAATGAAATGTATTTGTTGAATGAATTAAAAAGTAAAAAGTACACATTCTTTGTTCTTACCTCCATTTATTACTGAAAAGTTCTTTCCATCCGTGTTAAGGCATTTATTTAGATCCGAAATCAAATGTAACATTTCACATGTGTCGTATGTATTTACACAAAACTCTTCACAAATCTATACAAATAATCACCAATTTTGTCGATAAGCACAGATTGGTATGCATACTGAAATGGAAATGTAAGAACTTGGTCAATATGAATCCAAATGTGTCGTATAAACTTTGGTAACGGGACGTTCACGAACAATCCAAATATTCCGCCTCGTCAACATACAGATCGAGCTCTCGCCAGTATGGTCGGGGCCAAATGCCCGACTTTTGAAAGCTTTTATTTTTATTTTTTTATTCAAAATTTTTTGTTGTCACATTCAAAACATACAAAAATATGTAATATCAGTAAGTATAATAAAAGGTCACTGTACGTATGTTATCTATATCTTTGATCAGAACTTGCATCTATAAAACTTTATTACAACAAATACAAACATAAAAAATTCATACTGCTACATTGCTACATTAATTTTGACATATTTTATGAATGATTTAACTCTGAAGATTGTATATAAAAAAAAAAATACAAGATACAATCATGTATCCATATTTAGCATTCTGTCAATGAAAATCCATTTTTGATTTACCATAATCTTTTTTTTATTTGAATATGTATCAAGTCCACACTCTTCTACTTTTTTATAAAAAAACATGTAAGTTTTGAAAGCTTCTTTCCGATTGGTCAGTCCGATGCAGAATGACACGTCGCCATTTCAAGTCACAAAGTATTTTACTACATACTTTTGTACAAGGAAATACAATGTTTCTAAACATGTTAGCATAGTATATTTATTAAAGTGTGTTAGAATGGGGATTCGGTCTCGAGTTCAAACCCAAATTCCATGTTCTAATCGCCAGTATAGCCACTCAAAACAACGTACTTTCCCCTAAATATAGAAGGGCTATACAGTAAATGTAACAACTATACAATGAATATGATTGTTCTGTGTGTGGCTTACTTAGGTCTGCCTTTGTCTATTTGACAGAGTCGGCCTGATTGAGTGGGTCAGTGACACCATGACCATGAAGGATTTCCTCAATTCCAGTCTCACAGATCAGGAGCGCAACTTTGTACACCACAAAACGTAAGTATATTTACTTCATGAATAGCCAAAAGGCCAAAGTTCACGATATTTGGCCAATAGCATGTTGGGGTGAAGGTGGTCCAACAAAGTTTGTTGGAATGAATGTCCTTGACTATTTCCATGGTAACAAGAGTCAAATGTAAAAAAAATAAGAAAAAAAAAAGTGTTAATTATATAAAGAAGGCAGATTCTTAAGTAGCATATTGAGATGAATGTCTAATAAGTTTGTTCAAATGGATAGCCTTGTAAATGATCAAAGTCACAGGGGTCAAATGCATTAAAACCTTTAAACAATTACTAGACCAAGGGGTCTAGTCATGTTTTGCCAATAACATGCTAGGATGGAAGGCTATCACGTTTGTTTAAATGAATAATCTTGATCCACATTCGTCCAATTTGAAGGTTACAGGAGCCAAATGTGTTAAAGCAAAACGCTTAGGGTCATATTTGGCTAGTAGCATGCTGGAATGAAAGTACATAAAGTTATTCAAATGAATGAACTTGACCCACTTTTAAAGATCACAGGGGTCAAATGTGTTTAAACATTGAAATAATATCTGAGTAACCGAGAGGCCAAGAGGTCTCAATTGATGGAAAGAATGATACATAAAAAACACATTGATATTTGGAAGCATTTGGGTGACTCAGAATCAAAACAAGGAAACCACATGGGATATTTGTATAAGACTGAATAGACAACAGGTAAACCTTACCTGTGTCACATATTTCACAAAATTACATTTATTTTATATAATACCATTTGGAATCCAAGCTTTTTGTAAATACATGTGTTTATATTTCATCTGTATATCTGTTTATATTTCAGTAATACATGTTTAGTTTTCTTGTCAAAAAGTGATGTTGATGGTCATGGTACTTAGTGTAAACTACTTTCAGTGTTACTGAGAAGGTTTCTTTAGCAGGAATATTAGATATAAGTTTCATTGAGTCACTGCTTTGTAAAAACAAGTGTTCTTACCCAGGCAGTTTCATTGAGTAACTTCTTTGTAAAAACAAGTGTTCTTCCCCAGACAGTTTCATTGAGTAGCTGCTTTGTAAACAGTGTTCTTTCCCAGACAGTTTCATTGAGTTTTCAGTAATACATGTTGAAGATGGCATATTTTTGTTAGGTTTTGTTTAGTTTTCTTGTCAAAAAGTGATGTTGATGGTCATGGTACTTAGTGTAAACTACTTTCAGTGTTACTGATAAGGTTTCTTTAGCAGGAATACTAGATATAAGTTTCATTGAGTCTCTGCTTTGTAAAAACAAGTTTTCTTACCCAGACAGTTTCTTTGAGTCACTGCTTTGTAAAAACCGTGTTCTTACCCAGACAGTCTCATTGAGTAACTGCTTTGTAAAAACCGTGTTCTTACCCAGACAGTTTTATTGAGTAACTGCTTTGTAAAAACAAGTTTTCTTACCCAGACAGTTTCATTGAGTGACTGCTTTGTAAACAGTGTTCTTACTCAGACAGTTTCATTGAGTAGCTGCTTTGTAAACAGTGTTCTTTCCCAGACAGTTTCATTGAGTTTTCAGTAATACATGTTGATGTTGGCATATTTTTGTTAGGTTTTGTTTAGTTTTCTTGTCAAAAAGTGATGTTGATGGTCATGGTACTTAGTGTAAACTACTTTCAGTGTTACTGAGAAGGTTTCTTTAGCAGGAATATTAGATATAAGTTTCATTGAGTCTCTGCTTTGTAAAAACAAGTGTTCTTACCCAGGCAGTTTCATTGAGTAACTTCTTTGTAAAAACAAGTGTTCCTACCCAGACAGTTTCATTGATTAACTGCTTTGTAAAAACAGTGTTCTTGCCCAGACAGTTTCATTGAGTCGCTTGTTTTTAAAAACAGGGTTCTTACCCAGACAGTTTTATTGAGTAACTACTTTGTAAACAGTGTTCTTTCCCAGACAGTTTCATTGAGTCGCTTGTTTTTAAAAACAGGGTTCTTACCCAGACAGTTTTATTGAGTAACTACTTTGTAAACAGTGTTCTTACTCAGACAGTTTCATTGAGTAGCTGCTTTGTAAACAGTGTTCTTTCCCAGACAGTTTCATTGAGTTTTCAGTAATACATGTTGAAGATGGCATATTTTTGTTAGGTTTTGTTTAGTTTTCTTGTCAAAAAGTGATGTTGATGGTCATGGTACTTAGTGTAAACTACTTTCAGTGTTACTGATAAGGTTTCTTTAGCAGGAATACTAGATATAAGTTTCATTGAGTCTCTGCTTTGTAAAAACAAGTTTTCTTACCCAGACAGTTTCATTTAGTCACTGCTTTGTAAAAACCGTGTTATTACCCAGACAGTTTCATTTAGTCACTGCTTTGTAAAAACAGTGTTCTTCCCCAGACAGTTTCATTGAGTCGCTTGTTTTTAAAAACAGGGTTCTTACCCAGACAGTTTTATTGAGTAACTACTTTGTAAACAGTGTTCTTTCCCAGACAGTTTCATTGAGTCGCTTGTTTTTAAAAACAGGGTTCTTACCCAGACAGTTTTATTGAGTAACTGCTTTGTAAAAACAGTGTTCTTGCCCAGACAGTTTCATTGAGTTTTCAGTAATACATGTTGATGTTGGCATATTTTTGTTAGGTTTTGTTTAGTTTTCTTGTCAAAAAGTGATGTTGATGGTCATGGTACTTAGTGTAAACTACTTTCAGTGTTACTGAGAAGGTTTCTTTAGCAGGAATATTAGATATAAGTTTCATTGAGTCTCTGCTTTGTAAAAACAGTGTTCTTGCCCAGACAGTTTCATTGAGTCGCTTGTTTTTAAAAACAGGGTTCTTACCCAGACAGTTTTATTGAGTAACTACTTTGTAAACAGTGTTCTTACCCAGTAATACATGTTTAGTTTTCTTGTCAAAAAGTGATGTTGATGGTCATGGTACTTAGTGTAAACTACTTTCAGTGTTACTGAGAAGGTTTCTTTGGCAGGAATATTAGATATAAGTTTCATTGAGTCTCTGCTTTGTAAAAACAAGTGTTCTTTCCCAGACAGTTTCATTGAGTCGCTTGTTTTTAAAAACAGGGTTCTTACCCAGACAGTTTTATTGAGTAACTACTTTGTAAACAGTGTTCTTACTCAGACAGTTTCATTGAGTAACTGGTTTGTAAAAACAGTGTTCTTGCCCAGACAGTTTCATTGAGTAGCTGCTTTGTAAACAGTGTTCTTTCCCAGACAGTTTCATTGAGTCGCTTGTTTTTAAAAACAGGGTTCTTACCCAGACAGTTTTATTGAGTAACTGCTTTGTAAAAACGGTGTTCTTACCCAGACAGTTTCTTTGAGTCACTGCTTTGTAAAATCAGTGTTCTTACCCAGGCAGTTTCATTGAGTAACTTCTTTGTAAAAACAAGTGTTCTTTCCCAGACAGTTTCATTGAGTCAATGCTTTGTAAAATCAGTGTTCTTACCCAGGCAGTTTCATTGAGTAACTTCTTTGTAAAAACAAGTGTTCTTTCCCAGACAGTTTCATTGAGTTTTCAGTAATACATGTTGAAGATGGCATATTTTTGTTAGGTTTTGTTTAGTTTTCTTGTCAAAAAGTGATGTTGATGGTCATGGTACTTAGTGTAAACTACTTTCAGTGTTACTGAGAAGGTTTCTTTAGCAGGAATACTAGATATAAGTTTCATTGAGTCTCTGCTTTGTAAAAACAAGTTTTCTTACCCAGACAGTTTCATTGAGTTTTCAGTAATACATGTTGAAGATGGCATATTTTTGTTAGGTTTTGTTTAGTTTTCTTGTCAAAAAGTGATGTTGATGGTCATGGTACTTAGTGTAAACTACTTTCAGTGTTACTGATAAGGTTTCTTTAGCAGGAATACTAGATATAAGTTTCATTGAGTCTCTGCTTTGTAAAAACAAGTGTTCTTTCCCAGACAGTTTCATTGAGTTTTCAGTAATACATGTTGAAGATGGCATATTTTTGTTAGGTTTTGTTTAGTTTTCTTGTCAAAAAGTGATGTTGATGGTCATGGTACTTAGTGTAAACTACTTTCAGTGTTACTGAGAAGGTTTCTTTAGCAGGAATATTAGATATAAGTTTCATTGAGTCTCTGCTTTGTAAAAACAGTGTTCTTCCCCAGACAGTTTCATTGAGTCGCTGCTTTGTAAAAACAGTGTTCTTGCCCAGACAGTTTCATTGAGTTACTGCTTTGTAAACAGTGTTCTTTCCCAGACAGTTTCATTGAGTCACTGCTTTGTAAACAGTGTTCTTTCCCAGACAGTTTCATTGAGTCACTGCTTTGTAAAAACAAGTGTTCTTTCCCAGACAGTTTCATTGAGTCGCTGCTTTGTAAAAACAGCGGTCTTACCCAGACAGTTTCATTGAGTCGCTTGTTTTTAAAAACAGGGTTCTTACCCAGACAGTTTTATTGAGTAACTACTTTGTAAACAGTGTTCTTATTCAGACAGTTTCGTTGGGTAACTGCTTTGTAAAAACGGTGTTCTTACCCAGACAGTCTCATTGAGTAACTGCTTTGTAAAAATCAGTGTTCTTACCCAGGCAGTTTCATTGAGTAACTTCTTTGTAAAAACAAGTGTTCTTAACCCAGACAGTTTCATTGAGTAAGTGCTTTGTAAAATCAGTGTTCTTACCCAGGCAGTTTCATTGAGTAACTGCTTTCTAAAAACAGTGTTCTTACTCAGACAGTTTCATTGAGTAGCTGCTTTGTAAAAACAGTGTTCTTACCCAGACAGTTTCGTTGACATTCTGCCACCTAGAACACTGTTTTTACATAGCAGTGACTTGATAAAACTTGCACATATACTTTCAAGGTTCATATTACAATTATTACCATGCAAAACTGGTTGACAAAATTGTAATACAGAAATTCAAAGGTTTCTTCTGATACAACAACAAATAACTCTGGAGTGATGATCTGTATATCTGATTTATTTATTAATAACACACATTCTTATCAACTAAATGACATGGGAAGCAATATCTCCAGAACTACAGATTATTGTGATTATTGCTACAATGATTTTGGGGAGACATGATATAATCTGTTAAGGCA